AGAGAGAGAGAGAGAGAGAGAGAGAGAGAGAGAGAGATGAGTAGACACAGGAAAACACACTTGGCCAGGCTGAAGATTCCACGATGTCTGTCTTCCCCAATAACAAGCTCACACTCTCGTGCCGTTGCACGCGCCTATAAGCATCCCGTATATTCGTTATTGTGCTGTGAAAAAGGGGCCAGCGTTCTTACACGTCTGGTTACGTCAGTTCCTCCTATTTTTGCTTTCAGAAAATTCCCACTTTAGCTTTCAGTCCTCGTTTGGAATACGTCTCGAAGCATAAAAACTTATTTTAACACATGCAGTTGCCGTTGTGGCTAGATATGTTATTACTTTCTGTCTATACTGGAGATTGACGCAGCAAATAAGATAGAAATAGATTTTATCCTCACATTCATGCAATTAGAATGGTGAATGAGGCAAGCAGCTCATACATGCCTGAAAAAACTGTGAGGGTGTAGGATGCTATATCAAAATCAACAGAGGAAAATTATTGAAACATCGTTCAAACAGCATGGAAGCCACGAACACTACATTTTATTGTATGATGTGGCTTCTGGAGACTATTGGAGTGGTGAAGGTGTTCAAACCCAATAGACAGCTTTTATGGAGTTGTCAATTCTGAAAGTTTAAAATCGGCTTTGCCACTATAAAATATTGTAAACGAGGACTTGTGACTGAGCAGGGGTGCTAGCCGGTAGGTCACTGCTTTTGCCTTCATAGTTCTTGTTTCTATTTTTGTCCATAACCCCGTCTTGTGTGAAGATGCTTCCCAAATAGTTAAGTTCCTCTACTTGTTGGAGCTGTGTATTCCATCAGTAGGAATGTTGAGTTACCCTGGGTTTCCCTGACCTTCATAACTTCTGTTTTTGAGATTGAGATTTCCATGTTCAGGTGTTTACATTCCTCGTTTAGTTTTGTGGTGTGTTTTTGTAATTCCTCTTCATCTGTATTTAATATACCCTGGTCATCAGCAAACAGAAGCTCTTCATAGTACAGTGATATTGTCGTTTGCTGCTTTCGTGATCTTATCCATGTAAGTGATGAAGACATGCGGAGAGGGAACAAACCTTGTCTCATCCCAGACCTGATGGGGAACCAGTCTGATATTTTACGGCACACAGGCTGCTTTTATAACGTGTCATGATGTTCTCCTGCAATTGTCCTCTTACACCATATGCCTCTAAGACTTCCCAAATTTGAGATCTATCTACTCGGTCAACCCCCTTTTCCTGCTCCACGAAGACAACAACATTGTTATTGAGGTCTTCAGTGTGGAGAAAAATATTTAGATAAAACGTTGTAAAGTGTGGGGTTTTTATGTTGTTGTTTTTTTTTTTTGGGGGGGGGGGGGATTACCCAGTATTACACTGGGAAAAATGATTAAAGCTCAACTTGCTTATTTGAACAGTTCGATG